ATGCCTTACCCTCGAAACTTAAGGTATCCATAAATGCTGCTTTATGGTACAGTGAGATGCATTCCTACTAGCTAAACAGCAGCTAAGCGAATTAAAATCAGATAGAAAGGAACGTTCAGCCTTATAATGCTCCTTCGCGTAAGCTGCAGCGACCGAATTGCAAAGTGTGTATACATATCATCCCACTCGTCTAAAAGTGGACCAGACCAGTTTATTCAATAGGAGTCCTAGGCTGTCCGCCAAATTATAAATTGCGCCCCGAAGTCAAAAAAGATTCTTGCCGCATGCAATGGCAGAACCAGCGCTGTACCTCAATCACCCCTTAACCCCAAGTAGAAAAAAAAATTCACGGGGAACAGATTGCTGCAAAGTCGCTAAACAGGGTTGTGTAAGAATAGAGCCAAAAAAACAATTTATAAGCTTAACATCGCCAGGGTCTGTGATAATATGGCCTTTCACTTTTTCGCTACGTCGCAACGGTTCCCTGGTTGCTACTACACAACCCTTATGCTTCCTACAAGAAAAAAAGGCTACCAGGGCTGCTGCGGCAATAGCAATGAATGAGGGCACTATGGCAGCTGCGAAGCTGGTAATTCCAGCTGTGATCTGATCCCATTGGCTTTGGCTGAAACACAAATGCAGTCTTATTAACGTCCCATTGAATCTTACGAGGCAATCAAATGGATACTTACAGCAAACCCAACCGTAATAAATCACGATTTTAACTTACGTATATGTATGTTTGCCTACTTCCAAGGCCGCGGTCGTTGAACAGACCAAGGCACGGACCTCCGTGGAAGCTGCATTTTGATTACGCAGGACTGTTACCCCCTTGGTCTCAGCCTCTGCTCCCTTTCCGCAAGTTGAATACGCATGATCCACCTGAGGATTTTCCTTGGGGTTAAATGTCACAATAAACGAAATATTAGCGTTGCTGTCGTATGGCGCGGTTTCGGTGTCGGCGAAATGCCGGTAGGCCGCCGAAGTTGGAAAAAGAATCCTTCCACTGCTTTATGGCAGCCGTGCATTCCGCGCTAGTGCCTGTTTGTAGTACAACTGCGAATGTGGAAGTGTATTTTTTTAGCTTGGTTTTCCAGCGTGTCTCCGGACGGGTACGAAGCGCATTAAGCATAGCAGCCCACAACGGACACGGCGCAAAAAATGCGATTTGCACCTGTTCTTCATGGCAACCCTCCACTTCCAATAACCCCCGACATTCAAAAACGATTTCGCCGGGAACGTACAAGTATTATAGGGTGCGAGACACGTTTATTTTGACTGTAGAAATTAGGGCGACCGGATTGTCTGGTAACCTACCATCAGAAGGCTGCTGCACGCAGCGTCCACGAATTCTTTGCGTTTATCGTCGTCGGTTTTGTCAAGAAACATCTTCACCTTATCGTCAGTAGCTTGCACAAAGTCGTCAAAGCCCGAGCCCTCGGGCCTCATTCATCGCTTCCCTGCAGTCAACATTCTCTGCGAATATTCGTTCGAAAAAGGCATTGAAAGCATAAATTAATTGTTTTTTCATGTTACGTTTTCAAGGCAGTGAACGAAATAGACACTTACGGGCGGTGTTTTCTTTGTCGCTCCCTAACACTCCAAGCGCGAGCAGCAGTGAAACGCCTGCGAGAGAGAGAAACTTAAGGGACATTATGTCATGGGAATAGCTTGGAACAAGATCGAAATGAGATCCAAAAACCCAATAATATAAAAATGGGTGTCGGATTTTAAAAATCCTAGCACTGCCGAGGGTTGCCCTTCATGAATCCCATATGGACAGGTAGGTGTTAAACCAGTCTTGTGAATTTTCCGTAGCTTTACACCACCTCCGACCCTCCAGCAAGTTACAAACGCCTCGGAATTCTTTTTAGATGACTTAAAATAATATTCCCTATCAATATCCCGTGGTGGCTAATTGTTTTGACGAAATTTTAATGGAAGGAATTACAGAGCAGGGCGGCTTTACTGCCTTCACCTCGTCGAATTTCGTCTGGACGTTGCCACGATCAGCACTGGTACACGTAGCTGCGCCCTCCGCACTGTGGTCATATCAGCACACCAAGTTAGAGCACAGGCAGACTATCCAAATCATTGGGCTATAAAGTTCTTCCTGGTTCGCACAAGACAGAATTTATCAGCGTCCAAGCCGATATCTATATTCTCCACTGAATCATATTCAACGCAGGTGATTGGAAATCGGCCAATGTAGCAGCACAAAGGTACATATCGGCACTTTTGGCAAGCGATTAATCTTTAATTCAAAGTTAGGAATCCACGAATTGTCTAGCCTATTAGTGCACGTTAGTTGTTGCAGATTTAGGTCAGCTCCACACCACAATGGAGAACGATATGTGCTTGTACCATGCGTTTTTATTTACGGTCTTTCTATGAAGACTGTTGACTCTACAACCAGCAAAAGCTTGATTGAAAGCTAATGAGAATTTCCTAGACGAGTTTTTCCTTCTCCCCCCTGCGCCGCTGGGAGCTTTCGTCATGAGGGCAGAGGAGCAAATAGCACTTCCAGGTTTTAGAGCCAGCTGCATATAGCATCTGCATCACACACCCAAAACACTGAGCCTTGTTTTATTCGGCTGACAGTGTTTTGCAGTAAATAAAACATACAAGCAGATAACAGATGAGTCACCTATTTGACCACTAGTGTAATCGAAGGTGTTCACGTGCAACTCAACCCCGTGTTATAGAAGCAGGCAGCTGCTGGGAGTCCCTTGGGGTCTTTTCTAGCGTACCTTTGACAGTAGGGCAAGTCCACTTGAAGCATTCCCCAACCATAGGTTCTAAGCCTGATGGAGCCCTTTCTTTGAACCCAATGACGCAGGAGTAATGTTCATTGGTTCCTGAAGCCTCAAGTGGTTCATTATCAGTGGTTGCCTCACCCGCCGGCTGTTTACTTGGTGACTTACCGCCAATCATGCGACCACCTGACGTGGCACTGCGGATATACGGGAGATACACCACTTATCAAGTTGGTGTTCGTTTACGATGTTAATTCTGCGAACCAAAGCGTCACGTTTCTCGGCATGCCGATCTATTAATAGATACCTGTGTTTCATCCCTGTCAGTTCACTCAAAGCTTGCCGCTCAGACGATCTCAGCGTCAACGAAGTAGCCAGGGTTTTAGTGTAGGCTTGAACTGTGTTAGCCTCTTCATGCCAATGACTTCTGCTACATGAATCGAGCCAACGTTGATGTGCAGCTTCTTGCAGTAAACATGCCGGAAGGAACAGTACTTTTAGTTTATGTGGGGCTGCAGCGAGGTAAATCTCCAACGGACTAGTGAAATCTTAGAGTTCTTGTCCATCGTTCTGATTTTCATACTTTTGTGGTCTGCACAAACTTCTCGACGCATCGATGGGCGGTTTATCGACTAGCAAATTATGCCACTTACCGCTATGGAGCTGTGCTCACATCAGCTTGCAGGCTGGCCTCTGCCGTACCAACAGGCGCTGTGCCACTGCGTACTTTCATTGCGATATGTCCTTTCTCCAGCCTGTTGCCGAAGATATGACTGGTGAATTACCGAATAGCTCGATCAAAACCAGAGAGCTTTTAACCAAGAAATGCTACCAGCTGTGACGCTTTATTCAAGGTCTGCACAGAAGGACATGTAACTTAAAGCTGAATCCAAGCTTACTAGAAAGTTAGGGAGTGTTCCTGAAACTAATTCCCTCCTTTGCCCTGCCCGCGCCCCTTGGAGTCCCCGACGTGAGGGCAGGCAGCTAGGCTGTGGGTAACTGCAACCCGCGCAGCAATGCGTCTTCTTGCATCGATCCAACAGTACTGGTGTTCAATTCTACACCAAGCCATTAAATCAATATAGCTTGTGTAGCAGAAAGTGCTCGAGTGCAACGTATCTCGCTAGATGGAGTGGTACGCATTCCCTGTTCGCGCCCCTCAGGATGGTAGCATGGGGGATATAGGCAGAGAGTGCGCTTAGCTGCACACTCTAAGTACCTCTAGCAAGCACAACTAGTTGCACATAGCATCTGACACTCACGTACAAAACGATTCTTACTGTACTGAGCTAATGCCCCACTGCAGTGAGATCTGCGAACAGCCAAACCATGTAGTCAATTCGTGCCTAGCTCTTAGTTTCGTGTAAGTGGTGTAGTAAGGAGTGACTAAGTGTAGCTTAGTCCACTGCGCTACTGCTACTCAGTCCATGGGCAGATGAGCTGATGGTGAAGCAAGCTACAACTCTACACGAAAATTGCGTCAAAATGGCTTTCTTAGGCACAGAATGGCATCCAGTTTTGCTCATTCCATCGTCATAGATTGATAGGAGGATAGCGGTATCCTATTCGTTTTTATCTAGGAAGGCAGCTGCTGGTCATTCAAGCTATAGTGCCACCGCGCGTTTCAAATAGCAGCACACCAAGAACAGACGGTAAAAGCAATTTAATATGGATGAGTGGGGTTATAAGGCAATAGGCAGATCATTCCACGGTGCACAAGAAACCCGGTAGACTTTTCACTGCTTTGCTACCTGTATAAAGCCCAGAAAGCTGCTCCCAACAAATTATTTTTTTAAGCGAGCTACGGTTGAAGCAGGGAAACGTTTATCTTATCCAAGCTTTTCTTTCGCAGACTTGAAAAAAACTCGAAGGGGCGGGCAGTCTGTAAGCTGATGCCTTTTCAAAGTCATTTGCGTCGGTTCTACTCCTTGAACGAGGCCGAGGCCGTAAGCCTAGCTGCCGAGTTTGCGGACAAACGCACCATATGTTCGTCTGATGAATATGCATTTTATATGTCGATGTTATATGAATTATTAGACAGTATGTATGTCTCTGACCAAAGCCGACAAGCACGGCACTCATCTGCTTTTCCGTGCATAGGCTAACGCGGCTCGTGGCATGCAGTTTGCCCATAATGTTCCTTTTGCGGTGTCCACTCTAATTGATCGTCCATTCTTACATGAGCGGAATTTCCTGTTAAATGCATGTGTTAAATACGCTTAGTGTCCTTATTCTGCATTCACAATGCAGATCACAGTAACGGACGCTGGTAGGCTCCATACACAGCACAAGCACAGCGCCAAAAGTACTTTTGCGCATCAGTTCCCCCATTCCAATTTATAATCTCTATCAGTTGTGAAATTGATATACATATGTATTTTTGGGGCTCGCACTCCTTCATGGCACCTTTGCGGTACTTTCTCGCCGCTCTGTGTTCGCCTGTACGATGATTTGCATGCCCCTCCTCCTAAGTGTTCTATGCATGCGTTTATTAGAGTCTTTGTGGATTCAGATGGACAGGCATTCGGGCTGGATTTGACCCGTGAGACGGAGGTTGAGTCCCTGAAAAGCATCATTGCAGTTGAGCTGAATATACCCCCTGACCGGCAACGGATTTTGGTAGAAGGTCATCCCCTCCGGTGAGAGTCTTCAACACGTTTCTGCCAGATCCAGCTCTACTCAGAACGCCGTGTGATATGATTATTCTGGACTAGAGGTGGGTGTGTTTGCGCAGCAGTGCTGCAAGGACTTTAGGCGAGGCTGGCATAGGCGAAGGCGCCATACTGCTTGTCCTAAGTGAGGGTACAGGAGCTGAAGCTACAGCTGCACCCCACAGTATCCCTCAAAATATTAGTGAGCAGCAGCTACAGCAGCCATCACGGCCAGTTTTGGGGAATCAGCAGCGAGAACAAGTGTCTGCAGTTCAGCATTTGGATTTTTCAGGTAAGCTGTTAAACAGACGTCACTTAGAGCAAAATCCGAGTGCCTTCTGCCTTTGAATCGAAAACAGTGACATAGAGCTCATTATTCTTTGCTGCATGCAGGTATCGTTGTTGACGGAGGCCGTGTCTCACAGTTTCCTGCGGCTACGACAGTACCCCCTTCCTCTACTACCCTCGCTTCGCCTCCCCTGGCAACCGCGTTATCACCTACAGCAGTAACCGCACCATCTGCTGTTGGATCTGCAACAGAAACAGCTGCACAAATACAAGCACTGATACGCCAGCATGCAGAAGCTGTGGTTGCAGCAGCAAAAACAGACCCCGCGTCCTTGGGGATAATGCGAGCGCATAACCCTTTGCTGGGGGATGCAATAAGCAGTGCAATACAGGAGCGGCAGGAAGCCGCAAATCAGGCAACACCGGATGCGCAACATTTGAATCAACCTGGCCCAGCAATGAAGCGGGTTATGGACCTTCTGATGGTGGACTTTGAGAAAAAGAAGCAGGTATGATTGATAGAGCCTGGTGGATGTTCTGCCGTCGCCACTGCATTTCCTAAGGAACAGGCTGATGACGCAATTCCTATAGCTGCGTAAATGGCTACAGCAGCAGTCTGAGATACTAAAAATGCAGCGCCAGCACTATTTGGCTTGATATGCTTCTCTTTCTAGGCTCAGGAAGAAAGGATGAGGCGTCTGGCGTTTATAAAACGAGATCCACTATCTCTTGAGAGTCAGCAGTTTCTACTGGAGGAGCTGCAACAAGAAAGAATAAACGAAAACTACTCAATGGCCAGGGAACACCTGCCCGAGGGGTTCGGTTCTGTATGCATGCTCTACGTGGGATTGGAGATCAATGGGGTTCGGTGCAAGGCCTTTGTGGATAGTGGAGCCCAACAGTCTATTTTGTCGGTAGAGTTCGCAGAGAAATGCGCTCTGTCCTCCCTTATAGACACACGATTTGCTGGATCGGCACATGGAGTGGGGAAAGCTCCAATTGTAGGCAGAGTCCATGTCGCTCCTCTCAAGCTCGGCACTAAATTTTGCCCATGCAATTTTATTGTGCTTGAGGATAAGAGAGTGGAAATGATTCTTGGACTGGACCTGCTCAGACGATATCAAATGATCTTAGACTTTAAGAAGAATGTGCTCATTTTTGACGGTAAGCAGTGCTGACGCAGGAAGACGTTTCTCTAACCCCTTAACGCTATGCAATAATCCAGATTCACGTTCATTAGCTGTTTTACATTCACGCTTCAGTCAGCGTAATCTCCTTGAACTTGCGCGGGTTGCAATGCGATCATTCACTCTCCAGCTGCCACGTTGTTTCGTGTTTTTCAGGAGAATCTATTCCATTCATTTGATGGACAACTCACAAAAAAATCATGGCCAAAAAAGCTCTATCCAGTTTTTGAGTTCGCCAGAATTACTAGCCCAAACTGCTTCGCAACGTTGCACACCTCCGCGATACAAAAACAATCTTAGCTCGTGAAGACAATATAATTTGAGGAAAATCGCCTAGTTCTGAATTCTCTGCAACTCTAACCAACCTTACACTAGAGGTTGCAAAACAGAAGAACGGAGATTCCTCACTTGCACGGGCGGTGTTAGAAGAACATTCACCTTAAACTATGCCGAAGTTAGTTTAAACCCCTTGGGATGACCGCTGTTGCTGCGGTGTCCTTAAATTGAGAACCGTTGGATGCAATTTCGAAAAAAATCCCACTGCACCTACGCAGCCAAAATACGTTGCACTCTTGAACCAGCATTCAATCTCAAAGAATTACTACACCTAGATAAATGAGCAACAAAACTTCTAACCTCAAAACGTCGTCGAAATTAAGAGTTTAAATGTCCAAAGAACATTGACTTGTTGTACGCACGAAAATTTAAAACCCAACAAGCCAAAATCTTATCCAGAAAAAATCGCACAAGGATGATCTACTATTGATGTCATCGCGACTCATGAATGCATCCCTTGCTGTTCACACCTTAATAAGAACGCTTATTGCCTGATGTTACGGCAAATAAGCATTCACCATATTGCAGGAAGAACAGCAATCTAGTACACAAATAATCCAACAAAAGCTGCCCCTATTGCCATCATCGTAGGCAGTGCCGCAGCTCCTGAATCGAACGCTTGAACAATCTTATCCCACTGCTCGTCGCTGAAAAAACAAAGACAAACACCTTCCGACAATTTCAAAGAAATGTGTATCGTCAGAGTCATTAGCGGAGCAACTTCCGAGGGAAATAAACTCACGTGAAAAGTTCGCCGTCGTTGACGTTCATCTGTGTTCTACATATCAACCCGTTAAACGAGCCTTCTCCACTCTCCTTAGCGCAATTGTAGTATGCACAATTCACGCTAGCGCCGCTTTTTGGGTTTAAAAGCCCGAGAAACGAGACTTGTTTACCGTCGTATTGATTTCCAGTGAACTTCTGGGGTTTACCGGTAAATGTCGGGAAAGCACCCCTCCAGTAGTCAACTGCAGCCGAGCAATCCGCCGATAGCCCCTCCTGGACCGCAACCAGGTTTACCTTATCCCCATCGACTCGTTTGCTTGTATCAGCTGTATTCTGCAGAATTTAGGCACGCCCTCGTGGAACACCCCTGTCATGCCTATATTCACCAATACAGGCTTATTCATCCCTATGTTGCAGGGTTGGTGGTGAGTGTGGAGCACGTGCTTTTACTGAATGCTCTGAAGACTGGTGAGGGACGGACACCGAAACGGAAAAAACGAGGCCTGCCACAATCCCTAGAATCTTACCCCCAGGATCTTGGTACAGAGTTCTTTCACCTCCTCTTTTTTATCTGTAGTAACTTTATCCCCCGCTAGATGGGTTCCCACTGGGAGATGGTATGCGTCCACGCTTGTGTGTATCGTGAAAGCCTCGAGGCCCGCTTTCTTCCTGAGCGCGTTCATTGCTGTAGTGCAGTCCACCTCGGCTGCAAACATTCACCGTAAAATAAAACACAAAATATAAAATGTATAAGGGCATCCACCTTACGTTTTGCAGTGCAATGAGAACAAATGCATACTTCCGACGCTGGTATCTTCTGCGAAGGCGCCGTGAGCAAGGAGCAACGAGGCGCTTGCGAGAGAGAGGAGGCTGAACGGCGCCATCTTTTGTAAACGATTTGGAGAACAATATAGACTAAAGAAAAGCCCAGTAAAAATGAAAAATGTGAAGTGTCCGGGGCCGCTGATGGGCAACGCACAAGCGATCCCGTAGTGAGCAATGCGGTGGAGAACCTGTTCTGGGATCGTTCTTGCTAGCTGTGCACCCTAGCAGCAGTTCCAGCGAGGTGGACTGGGGCAGTCATACGGACATAAACAGCTCCCCGCTTTGAGAATGGGCAAATAAACAGTTTTTTTAAAAATAATTCATGGCTATTTATGGCTACCCTGTCCCAAACTTCCGCAGAAAGACATGCCAGCCAGGTGGCCGGCGTGTCCGGCTGCTCCCGTTGAATATAAGTACGCCTCGTTTCCCTCCCCTTTCATAGAATCGGAATTTCCATTCCCCCTGCGTTTTTTTAAATCTCCGAAAAAACGCATGTACTCAAAGAAAGCGTACATCTTCACAGTGCCCACAAAGCAGCTGCACCCATGCAGAGCAGCACCACACGATCAACGGTGGCAGAGAATGAGCGGCCATGCCTGAGCTAGTTTCTCCAGTGAGTGGACCTTTTAGGATCAGGTAGCATATGTTCCTTGGATCGACTCAGGAAAAAGAGGAAATGGTGCTCAAAGCTGGGGGGGAAACTGTGTATGGCCTTCCGCATGGTGTCGCGCTACAAATGTGGCCTTCACAGGAAGAACTTCGCCCCAAACCCAACATCACACTGAGTGGCAATTTTTCAAGTGCCTCTTCTAGAATTTCAAACTATTACACAATGCTGACGTGCAGCTGAGCGGGGGGAGGTCAGAAAGACACTTAGGTTGGAATTGCTGCCCATCGTTAAGAGCGTTCGAAGCTAGCTGCACCCGACATCTAGAGCAAACGCACAAAGACTGACTCTTCTGGTAGTAATTCTAAACTTCTCTGGAGTATATGCACTCAAAAAAAACAATTAGTCACTCCTTTACATACTTGTAGTAAGGAAAACTAGTGCAATTGTGACTATAGCGGCACGGCTCAACTCGAGCACTTTTTGCTCACTATTTTTACAACAAAGTATTGATACAACATCGACCTATTGATTTGACTGTTCTTTACTGTTATTTATTGCACTCTACCCTCAACTCGATAAAAGGATGCGTGTTGTCTTCGTGTGCTGTACATGCTTTCTGTGACTAGATGTGCACAGATAAAGCGCTCATAGGGTGCAGCTACGAGCAGCCTAGCTCACCTTTTCTCCTCACATCGGGATTTTTACGGGGTGCAGGCAGAGTAGTGCCAGAGCTCTTTTGAGAAATATCTGAACCTTTTTATTAAGTGGGTATTGTCTAAAGTCAGGTATCCCTACGGAGAACTTCGCTGGAGGGTTATAGCTGGCATCATTGCCTAGTTTGATGCAGCTCTTCCCTACCATGCACTGGCTGCTAAATCAGTGGAAGGGCTGTGCCTACAATGGCTGTCTGGATTCGGGGAAGTCATCCGCCAAAGAGAATCAGATAATTGAATTACCGAGTGGCTGGGGGAAAAAAGGTTTCTACTGGTGGATTTGAAGTCGCCTGCTGGGGCGGCACGGGCCGGCGTGAAAGTCGATATAGACTTAATAGCTCAACAGCTAAAGAAAGGCATGTTTGGTCAGCTGGGAAAATGTTAACGGATGCTTCGATTAGGTTATGCCGGCCACAAAAGCTTGATGGCCCAACGGGTGGACAAGTACTCCTTAATTTGACCAGCTCTTCTGTAACCCTCACGCAAAGGTCTCCGTAGGGAGACAGTGAAATACACACTCAGTACAAAATAGAAAATTTCTGAGTGCTTTTTGCTAGGCGCTCCTTAGACGTTACGGCATGAGGGTTGAGAGGCAGCTTGCCTGTTCCCCGCGACACCCTGTAAGCACTCCAAGGCTGCACAGCTGGTTGAGTGTGGCATCTAGCATAGAGGAAAACAAGATCAGTCTTTTTGTATTCAGCTTAAAGAGCTTTGCAAAATCACAAAATGAGCGAATAGATAAACCAGTTGGTCAATTCTATAGTGATTATTAATTGTAACCGGTTGAGTAACAAGTATGTTGTGCAGCTTGGAAAGCCACATCTATTACCATTCTAGATCAGACCCCCTATTGTTCCCATCAGGTAGGCCGAGACAAATGGCATGTAGGGAAGCGTATAAAATTCCTCCTTCAGAGCCACTTCCCACGCAAACAGGAACACGAAAACAGTGCAGATGAGAAAAGCAAATGTGCTCGTTATTCAACAAAGTGAAATCAACAGGAACAAAGAAGAACACTCTAACCAGTGAACGAGGGACCAAACCACCAAGATCATGACGATGCGACGAATCGATGTTGTCAGAGCGCTAAAGTGTGTGAGTCTCCTGCCACTAGACAGCACAACACAAGTGAAGCGTGTGGAGAAAACCAGCATAGACACTATTCAAGCAGTGAATCTGAGCCTCACAGAGCAATGCCGGCTCGTAAAGGTAGTTGGTGCATTCAGCAAGGTCAAGTTGAAAGCCTAACACGGGTACAGGCAAGAGTATAGAGCCAGCATATTTGGGGGTGTCTGCGCGTAGTTCTGAGTAAAGAACACACTCACACTAATAAAGGGAGCCTTTTATAGGGATACGTAGAAGTGTAGCTACTTATTCTAGAGATGACATCGGTTGGGTTCGGAGAATTGCAAGGGAACGCAGAGAGTACCGCCCATGGCGACTATCGTTGTCAGCGAAGGAAAGCCGGAAATTCGACGGGTAGTGAGGCCCGCAACTGGCCTCTGTCAACCGTTGAGGCTGG